CATCAACCAACCAAAGGGTATATCCTGCAAGCCTGCACCCCCGCCCCCCGGGCCCATCTCCTGATTGTCAGCACACAGCCCCTCTCCTTCTCTGGGTCTAAAGTCCCCAGCCGCTCCATCTCTACACGTCATCGTCTCTGCCTCCATCCCTGGCATCACTTCTTCTCTGGGTAGGGTTCCATTCTCCACTCTTCTCCCTTCATGGTCCCAGGGACCTCTGCTCCTAGATTGCAAAGTTAATCACTCCCCTCCTTGCTACAAAACATCTACCTTCACATTTCCAACCCTCACAATGAGGCCTGATAACAATTATTCACTATTGTATCACAAGAGACCTCTCCGCATTTCCTTTCATCAGTCACACCTAGACAGATTGGATACTACTCAGTGGAGATTCTGTTCTTATCTTTTCAAGGTACATACCTCTATTACAGAAAAGAAACAGGACATACAGTTTTTTTGGGGGTGGGCTTTTGGGGTCTTACTATCATTTGAGATTTCCCTGGGTGGCACAAGCAGTTAAATATTCAACTACTAGCTGAAAGGTTGGTGGTTCCAACCCTCCCAGAAGGTACTTGAGAGGCAGGCTGGTTAATGGGCTTCTGAAAGGTGATGGGCTTGACAAATATATGGGGCAGTTCTACTGTGTACACATGGAGTAGCTGTGAATTGGAACTGATGCAGACAGTGCGGCCCTGCAGCCTGGGAAGATGAGGCCAATAGAAAACACCTACCTTCTACCTCACAGTCTGAGCCAGGAACTGATCTATCTGCTAGACATGCTCAGTTACATCAGGAAGCGAAGCCATTGCCCTAAGACGGCACCCAGCTAGTGGAGGAGTTAGATGGCAGCATTGAGAATTACAGAGGAGTACAGAAGAAGGGACCTCAACCTGTTCTGAAAGAATCCGAAAACCTGAGAAGAACCCAGAAGGATGACTAGTAACAGTGAGCTAACCATGGCCCGGGTCAGTCTAGGTGCTTTACAGACAGGAGGGCGCCAAGCTCACTGTCAGTCAGGGGAGAGATCTGGACCCAAGGGTGAAGAGTCTGAAAGACCTTCCCCTAAAGAGCTGCTAGGAGCTCCGTGGAGAGTGTTCTGGATGTAAGCTGTGTAACCCCAAAACATGCGTTCAACTGTCTGACCCCTGTACCTGCAGAAAGGAGTCCAGGTGATGCCATGGGCTAAGCGTTGGGCTGCTAACCACAAGGTTGGTGGTTCAAATCCACCAGCTGCTCCCACAAAGATTTACAGTCTCGGAAGCCCTAAGGAGCAGTTCTACTCTGTGTTGTAGGGTTACTGGAATGTGGGATTGACTCCGTGGCAAGTGAGTTTAGTTTGGGGCACCTGTGAATGCAGTGGAAATAGAGGTTTCTTTTGTTATGTTAATTCAGCCATATTAGAACAGGGGTTCTAACCCTAATCCTAAATTCTAAAAAGAACGGACTAAACTTCCTGAAACACCCAGGAAGAAGACAGATACCAAGGAATGCCAAGGATTGATGGCAGTCATCAGAAACTAAGGAGAGACCCGAAGAAGGAGAAGACACATCTGGTAACCTGATTTAACCTCCTAAACTGTGAGGAAATAAAATCTGTTCTTCAAAGCCACTCCCTTGTGACATTACTGTTGCAGCAGCACCAGGTTACTAAGCTGGAGGGCACCAGACAGTGTCTGCCACAGATGAAACACATCCATCATTTATCTCAACAACACCATCTCCAGCAATCTATCCTTTACAATCTTACTGGCACACACAGGAAAGGCTACTAACGATGGTCAGCATTGTCCCTGCACAGACTTGAGGACCACAAACTCTCCACCTTGTCCACCAGCCCCTTGTGACCTGGGACACGCTGCCACCTTCAACAGGAGTCAAGGGTTGAGTGGACTTGAATAACTCATTAAACACTCTCACCACTTGAATTGGATAAACATTCAGCTAACAGAGAGCCTCTTCCTGAGGTATGTGAAGCAAACAGACTCCAGAGCTGTGAGGCTGGGATCCACACACTCAAGCCTCATCCGAAACTGAGATTTCATTCCTAGAATCCAGCACCCATGCTCCAGAGACTCCACAAATTCCCTCAGCTAGAAGGCTCATCATGTTTCCAGGCAATCTTACCCTCTGCTCTACAGATCTATCTGGAGCTGACAAATCAGAGCCCCTGGAAAGGTCCCCATGTGTCTCCTGAATCCCAGCTGTCCCTGGGGAAGCAGAAACCAGTCCTTCACTCTGCCTCTGGGAAGAGACAGGAAGACACTCAGGGTGTATCTGGTCAGGAGCCGGCAGGGGCCCTCCTCCCCACCCCTCTGGGTCTTTCCCCCTTTCTGTGGTTCCAAGCCCCTCTGACCTCCACTCACCTTACTGCTGAGGTTCATCTGGCTTTGGTTCTGTAGCTGTGAGCATGGGAATGCTGTAGGTCTGGGCTGGGCAGGACTGGGCAGAGAGGGTTCTTACGACTGCAGTTCAGAAATGTGATGTGTTAGAACACTCTTAACTTGGCTGCTTTCTTCCCTTTTCTTTTTAGGAAAGAAAATGAAAAGGTATTTTCCCATTTCAGAAGTGCCACTGAAAGGCTGAGAAACCCCAGCCTGGGACCCTGTCAGGAGGAGTCCCCAGATAGGGAGTTTTCCTCCTGGGTGTCAACCCTGGCAATCTCTACTGCCTTGTCCCCTGAGACCTGGAAAGCTGCATTGAAGGTATCAGCAAGCATCCATTCTCCCTCTTCATTCCTTGCCAGTTGAGTGGGGCAGCAACAGCGCAGAGCTTTTGTGACTAGAGGGATGGGGGGAGGAGCCCCCACTGCCTGCAGATGACTGACCCCAGCTGACTGAGGGGGCTGCAGGCAACCGGGCAGTCCCCTGAGCATCCCAGGAAAGTGCAGGGCCTGAGGTGGGGAGTGTGGCCTCTCACTAGGGTGACTCTTCTCCAGGAGGACAGCGAAAAGGTCACCTTCTCTGCCCACCCACCCTGGTTGAAGTGACCACATGATGGTGCTCACTCGTACATGGCATAGCTCTTCATAGTGACCAGTATGCTCATGCTACCTCTATTACGTCTACCAAGTTGCCAAGGGGGAAGTAGACATGTGTCCACTTATGCAGGGGGCAGCCATGGCCCCAGAGGGTAGTGCCTTGTCAGATTTTGGAAAGATCCTTTCTCTTCTTCCCATCCAACCTCAGCTCCCCCAGGGGCTCTGCTCTTGAAAGATGTAAGGTGAAGGTGCAGATGCCTCTCTGATCCACCTCACCGCCCCCTTCCCCATGCCTACTGCATACTCACAGAGAATAGTTGACCCTTATGACCCCAGTGGCCTCAGCAGCCCATACATGGGAGGATAGGCTGTTTAGGACCCATGGCCACTCCCCTACCCCTGAAAGGGGCTACTGCTTTTATCCTGGGCACATATGTCCTCCTTTAAATGCCAGTTGGTTGGTTGTTCATACTTAAGGAGGAAAGTCAGGTAATTCTGAAAACAGTGACCCATTCCTGACTGTCTAACCAGTGTGACCCTATCACTGGCGCTACCCCTAGGAAGCCAGTCCCTCCAGACTTGGGAACTGTATCTGCCCCTGAAGTGACCCAAACATTAACTACAGACTACCTCCTTGTAATGTGATCCGTCTACTCCATCAGCTCCCTAACATTCCTCATGCCCAGAGCTGTACTAGATGTGTTTGGGAGGCCTGCCCTCAGGATAGAGATGTTCAGGATTATATGTGGGATGCCAGCATTCCAGTTGGGAGCACAGAGGGATCCAGGCACGAATAGTTGTTATAGAATTGCAGAGGTGGGAGAGGCCCTGGGAGTGTTCTGGGAGGGTTTCCTGGAGGAAGAAGGTCCTAGAGCCAACTCTCAACCTCAAGGCTTTACTAGAGAGGCTTGTTCTTGTTTTCATGAAGTGCCATGGAGTTGGATTCAACTTACAGCGACCCTGTACAGGGTTTCCGTGGCTGTGAGTCTTTATGGAAGACTCATCTTACTCCCATGGAACAGCTGGTAGCTTTGAACTGCTGACCTTGAGGTTAGCAGCCCGACTCGGGCTTTCATGTGAAGCATGTTTGGATTCAAGGTCTCGATCTTTCCTCTTAGTGACTGTCCTGTCTTAGGCAAACCTTTACATCTCTCATCTCTCTGAGCTTCAAATTTCCTACATGTAAAATGGGAATAATAACACACCTCTCTCAAAGGACTATTGTGAAGGTTCAGAAAATTAATAATAATAATCATTTTTAAAGCATTAAAGTGCTTAGGTATAGTGCCTGGCACACAGAAAGAGCTCAATAAATGGAACCATCCCACTAAACAATGATAAAAGCTGCATTAATATAGATAGTTAGATAGACAAACAGAGGAAAATATATTTTAAGGCACTTGAGAACAGCAAAGGCAGCCAGAACCTGAATGACCAAGATCCTGGTAAGACTAGATAGCCATAATTTAAGCATGACATGTGATGCTACCTATTTGTGAAATATTTTCCAAGTCAAATGTGACATGGGCCTAGAGATGGAGCAGAAAGTGGCAGCTGAGAACTAACAGTCTCACAAGATAGGAGAGATACAAGGAGGCTTCAAAAAGTTTATGGAAAATCCCACTACCTTAAAATTCCATTGTTCCATGACTTTTTTGAAGCCTTCTTGTACAAATTAGAGCTTATGACTTGAGAGGCCAAGATCCTGGTGGAAAAGAAAATGCAGAGAAGTGAGCTCATCGTTCTGCTCTTTCTCAAGGTATCTGCTGATTCCAATGTTGGTACAATGAGAACCAAGAAGCCAAGGAAAACCTGGTGTAACACTGTAGGATAAGTACTGGACAGCAAGGTTGGTTTGAACCGCAAGGTGAAGGTTCAAACACATGAGCAGCTCTTTGGAAACCCTATACAGGGTCAGTATGAGTTGGAACTGACTTGATGGCACTTAACTAAATAATTAACTAAAAAGGCCAAGAAGCTAAGCAGAGTTGTGTCCAGAAGCTGGGACAACCAGAATTAATCTTCAGGGCCAGTCAAGGAGAAGGAGACCTATTAAATATATTGGGCTTTTCACTGAGACCCTGTAAAGTCCTTAGGACTAAGAACACACCAAAATAGACCAGACTTTCAGAAAACTGAGAGTCAGTCTCACATGATTTCAATAGCTCTTCTCTAATTATCTTCTAAAAGAAAAGGAAATTCTTGCTAGATAGTTAATATCATACAAAACCTCTATAATTTTTTCTTACTAATGTTCCACAATTAATAGAAAATTGTCATGCATGCTAGGTTACAGGACCAACTGGTTAAAAAACAAGAGGAAAAACAGACCATGGAAGCAACTATAAACTCTTTATGTCAGTAGATGAGAACAAGTCAAAAAGTACTGCTACTGGGGTGGGGTGGGAATTCCAGTTCATACATGCATGGGTTTATTCCAAACAAATCATGTTTAAACATGTCTCTGTGGTTAGTGGCTAGATGCAGACAAGTTCTCTCAGTAATATATTTGTTTTAGTCTCCTTAGGGTGCCTTCCAAAAAGAGGTCTAATTAAAATACTGGCTTCTGAGGGGATCTACTGGGTCAGTTAAATTCAAAGCAAAGAAGTCAGCTCAGAGAGTTCTCATGGCTCTTTCTTTGAGATGCCAAAGGGGTTATCTTCATAGATTTTCATGTAGGACACAGGGCAAGCATGAGGGCTTTTTAGGAAGATGTCTTAAGAAAATGGAAAACTTCATGAAAACCAGGAAAGTTGTGCCCAGAAATTTCTCCCATCATAACAGTATTTCTGCTTATTCTTTGAGGGTAGCAAGGGATGTTCTGTGAGAATTTCCTTGGGAAACCTTACCCTACCTGCCCTATAGCCCTGACCTTGCCCCCTTTTTTTCTCCAAACTCAAAAAAACATTGAAAAAGAACACCATTTGAGTCCCTCGTGGTTCCATTTTGACATGGTGTAGTGTAGAGATTTTTGAGGAAGGGCTAGAGTGATGGGGACATCGTCTTTAGAAGTATATAGACCTAGAAGGAGAATATTAGCTTTACATTTTGATTTTTTGTTTAATAAAGAAATTTATTATTTTGTAGCAATAATTCATTATTTTTCCCCACTATCACTTTATTTATATTACTATGCTTAAGTTACATGGGAAAAGACAATCAAGCAGTTCTGCCCCTTTTCAGATACACTTTCCAATCAATGCTAATTATGTGGTGGTGACATAATAGTGACATAGGAATGGTGACATCTTTGGGTCAAGGCTCTGGTGCTACAGTTCATCTCCAACAAGAATATGGCACAATGGCCAGTACAAGCCATGCCAGCAGTGGACCTTTAGCGCTGGTCACACATTCAGATCTCTTCTCTGAAGCTAGTGAACCAGGTCACACATTCAGATCTCTTCTCTGAAGCTAGTGAACCAGGTGAGTTTTTTTTAAAAAGGTTTTAAAACGAAGCCTAACTATGTTTAAAACCATGCTCTTGACATTATTTTCCTTTCAAAAATTGACATGAAACACTTTTCACTCTAATAGCCCAGATTTTTGTCCTCACTAAGCCTATTATTATATAGCTGCAGATAGACTATCCTTCCTCAAGATGTAAACATAGGGGGCGGGAAAAAAACCCCAAAAATTTAATGGCATCTGCATAATATGCTTTACACACTGCTATTGAATGGAAAATTTAAAACAAATAAGAAAGAAAGAAAGGTTCCATCTTAGATTCTCACAAGCTCTTGTTATACAGTCTGTGAATCCGACTCTAATGTTACAGTGACAGTGTATGTAAGTAGACTTTTGTTTTCAGAGAAGGAAACCTGGGAAAAGAATGAAAATTCTTCAAAAGTCATCAGATGGTACATGCTCTTTAAAGCCCTCACTTTCTTGAACTAGAGTGCGTTCCAGGATCGCATGGCCTTCCTTATAATGCTGGCTGTCTTCAGTGGCAAACTCACAGATCCATCCCAGTTTGCTATTGCAGTTTTTGCAGCTCACATCTCGAACTATGTGGTGGTTCATGAGCATGACCCGGTCTTGAACTTCACTGTATTGTAGGTTCACTACCTTGTTAAAAAGGAATGCCCAGCAGGTGGCACCTGTGAAGCAAGTGGAGATGAGTTTGGAACGGTTGGTCAGGATCATGCCACAGTACTCACAGGAAAACAGGCGGGTGCCACAGATGCAGTCAAGGAAAATTCTGCCCATCTTTACAGGTGAAGTTCAAAACACCCTGAGCTGCTGTGAAATCCCTGCAGCTCCTTTCTCCTCAGCGGGAATGAAGCCGGTAGCAATACTTTTTGACTTACCCTTGTAGATGTCCACAAAGAGATTTGCACAAGAAGTTTTAGTCTATGAATCAAAAACTGGAAACAGCTCATGAACTGGAGAATGGATGAAAAAAATTAATATATATATATGCTTGTGCCATGGGCTGCCAAAAGAACAAACAGATTTGTGTTGGAAGAAGTGCAGCCAGAGTGCTCCTTGATGGCTCTATGATGGCCAGACTTGGTCTTTTATACTTCAGACATATTATCAGGAGGGACCAGTTGCTGGAGAAGGAAATCGTGTCTGGTAAGGTGGAGGGTTAGAGAAAAAGAGGAAGAGCCCCCACTGAGATGGATTGGCAAAGTGGCAGCATCAATGGGTTCAAGCGTAGCAATGATTGTGAGGTTGGCCCAGGACCAGGCAGTGTTTCATTCTGTTGTGCATAGTGTTGCTATGAGTCGGTATCGACTCTCTGGCACATAACAACAACAACAATTTGAACTAATGATGCATGTGACAATGTAAATAAACCTCAAAAACACTACATAAAGCACAAGAAACTAGAGAAAAAAGAAACATATAATCTTGCTCCATTCAGGTGAAGTACAAGAACAGGTCATTAATGTTGTGGTTAAGTGCCATTGAGTCTGTTCTGACTCATAGCGACCCTATCTATATAGGGTTTCCAAGGAACAGCTGGTGGATTTGAACTGCTGTCCTTGTGGTTCGCAGTCCATTGCTGATCCTGCAGTGCCACACCAGGAGTCCAGCCTATGGTTATAGAAGTCAGCCTAGTGAATTGTCACTGCAGAGAGGTATTGACTGGAAAGGTGCATGAGAGAACTTCCTGGGGTGAGGAGAATGTGGGAGCATTGGGGAATGTTATTATTCATCACCATCGAGTGTGTTTTGACTCATGATAACCCATGTATGCATGCTAGGAACGTTCTGTAAGATTTTCCAAGCTGTGACATTTTGGAAGCAGATAGGCCTGTCTTAAGAGGAACCTCCGAGTGGGTTTGAACCACCAGCCTTTTAGCTAGTAGCCCATTGCTTAATCGTTTGTGTTATCCTGGACACTATGTGTACAGACAGATAAAGATTTATCAAGATGCATACTTAGGATTTGTGCATTTCACTCTATCAAAATTATGCCTCAATTTAAAAAAAAAAAAAAAAGAATCCAAGAGGGATTTTGATATTAGAATGATTAGATACCAACTTTAAGATAATTTGATTAATATATTCAAGAAAATAGATGGAAGGTTGAGAATTTCATCAAAGAATAGAAATTTATTTAAAAGGTATCAAGTGGCAATTCTAGAACTAATGGTAACAACAGAAATGAATTCAATAGATGAGTTAATAAGTGATTAGATAAAGCAGAAAAGATGAGTACAATAGAAGATAGGTCGTTAGAATAGACTCAGGTTAGAAAAATCAGGAAAGGATATACAGAAATCTGACTGAGTGAGGGAAAATAACAAAATATATTATAATTATAACGGAGTGAGTTATGAGGCAGAAGCAATATTTGAAGAAAATTGAGAATTTTGCAAGACTGATCAAAGACCATAAGTCACAGATTCAAGACGGACCCAAAAGCCAAACCTACTACCATAGAGCTGGTTCCAACTCACAGTGACCCTGCAGGGTAGAGTAGAATGATAAATTCCTTAGATTGTCAGTCATTACAGAAGCATACAACTTCATCTTTTTCCCCTGGAGTAACTGATGGATTTGAACCACCAACTTGGTGGCTTCTAGCCCAACAGTTAATCCACTATGCCGCTGGGTCTCTAAATAAATATGTTGTTGTTGTTGTTAGGTGCTGTTGAGTCGATTCCAACCCATAGCGACCCTGTACAGGGTTTCCAAGACTGTAAATCTTTACGGGAGCAGAAAACCTCATCTTTTCTCTCCCGGAGCAGCTGGTAGTTTCGAACTGCTGACCTTGAGGTTTGCAGCCTGATTCATAACCAGTACGCTACCAGAGCTCCTTAAGGGAGAGAAATACAAAGAAAATCCATTAAAGCACATCATGGAAAAGCTGCTAAACAATGAACTCAAAAAGAAAATTTTTCCAAAGACACACCACACTGAAATCATCAGTGTGATGATTTATATTGGACTTTTAACAAAACTGAAGCCTGAAGACAATGAAATTATCTCTTTCAAATTGTCAGTGAACACAACTACCAACCACAGTATCCCTAACTCAAGGACCACCTGGCCGGCTGAGTGTCCCTGAGCCATGGGAAAAGCCTCCTTCCTGGAGGTGCCCCACTGTTCTGCTTTCTAGCCTGGGCAAGGCCTCAGCAACACTCAAACATTCCTGTTACCAACCGAGTGGTGTCGTGAGCAAAACCTTGGCAAGGGCCAGTTGTTTGACCTTGGAGAGGTCCTCTCTCCTCCCTGGGCCTTAGTTTTTGTCCCTTGGGAAAGGGATGCCTACACTTCTCCTCAGTGAGTGGAAGGCTATGTGCCCACTCATAGCTCTGGTGTGGGAGAGGAAGTGGGCTGAGGGGATGTTTGTATGGTCCTGGTGCCCTCAGAGAGTTCCCGACAAGAAAAAGCAGAGAATTCATCTGGGAAGAGGAATTATTGCCCAGGCTACATCCTCTGAAAGCCCGGAGGAACTCCCTGCAGGCTTTCCTGATGCAGATATGATGCTGGTAACTGGCTAAATCAGCAGTTTCATGATAGATGTGTGAGGACTGGATATCGGTGCCAATGGCGTTAATTTCACTCGGCTTGGTCCCTTTTTATCTATGGCAACCTTGGGTTGTCCCTTGGCCTACTGGTTTTTGGTATCCTGAGAAGTGCTATGTCTTAAACAAATGTCCCCATCATGTGCTTCTTGGAAAACTCAGGGATAAAACAACAGCTACCCCAGATATCTGCCTGAAACACCTGCCCCTCCCCTGGGTTTTTCTACAATGTTGTCCACCAACTCTGTTGTCAGACAGATTTTGGTCTGAGGCTTAGCTTCTTTATGTAGCTACTGTGTGACCTCAAACAAATAGTTCAACCTCTCTGAGCCTCAGTTTTCTGTTCTGTAAAATGGATGATTTGTTATTCTGAGGGCTAAATGAGATGTAAAGTGTGCTAAGCACATGGTGGGAACTTAATAAATATGAATTAGAAAACCTTGTCAGCAGTTTAGCACAAGATTGTGGACCTTTGGAGTAAAGTAACACAACCTATACAAAACCCCAAACTGCAAAAAGTCTGGATTTTACTTAAAACATAATTTTGGAGTTGAATCCATAATTTGCATGAATTTCTCATCAAGGTCATTTAAATTACAAACGAAGTAAAAGGATCCTCTAGAAGAGTTTCTGGGTTAGTGCTAGGATATGTAGCCTTCAAACAGGAGGAGAAGGATACCCATCTAACAAATGAGGAAGCTGAGGGTCACAGTGGTTGACCAACGCCCTTGATTAAGGCCAACTTGACTGAGGTAAGTGCTAGAACAAGAATCGAACCTAGTCTGTCGGACTCTTATGTCTAACCATTAAAGCCATTGTGACTTATGACTGGTGTTTTCTGGGGCCCAGCTGCCTGATCTTCTCCAAACTGTGCTCCAGCTAGCTGGCCAGCAATTAACACTCAGCAGAAAAAGGGGCCCTCCCAAGTCACCACGGCAGGCCCCCTAGTGTCCTTCTGGCCTATGGCCACCAGGTGGCAGCATTCCTAAATCTATTGGCCTGAACTTCCAGGCAGACAGGGAGGACAGTTTGAAAGCTTGAGGGTAGTTACTTATTGGAGGGGAGCAAGAAGGAGACCAAGTGCTGGGAGCAGGGATGCGGCTTGCTTCTTAGACTCTGAAATGCCCTGAAACGGCCTAAAGTGAAATCACAGCTGTCCTGAACTAATGTTTTTGTTAATTTAATCATCCAAATCTTTGTTGAGCAAAGAGACAAAGGAGGAAGCCCCAGCTTGAGGCCTTCACAAGCACAGATGCTGGGGACAAAAAGGCTCAGAAATGTTAGGTCACCTGGCTAATCACAGTGAGCAGGAGAAGCCAGCTTTGCTCTCTTATCTGTGAAATGGAATCATGACAATCTTTGCCAGCGAAAGGGCCCCGTAAGAGAGAACATGGGAAGCACTTAGCCCAGGGCAGGGCCTTGTGCGATGTAGGTGGAGCTGGTGTTACTATAATCATCATAGAGGCTTCAGGCCCCCACCAGGCTCTCAGACAAGAAGAAGAACACTTGTAACTACTGGAGGTGGGTGCTATGGTGGGGGCACACAGGACTGAGAAGGGGGTCACTAGGGAGGATCTCCCCAAGGAGAAGCCTGTGCCAAGTCCCTCAGGATGTCTAGGAGCTGGCCTGGTGTAAGGTAGTGTGCTAGACAGGTGTGGAGGGTGTTGAAGGGAGGGTGGAGAGTCAGCTAATCAGGTTCAGAAAATGGTCCTGCCTCACCTTGTTTTATACCCTTGGTTAATAAGGCTGGGGAGTCCTGGTGCGGCGCTGTGGGTTAATGTGTCAGACAGCAAAGCCGTTTGAACTGCAAGGTCAGTGGTTCAAGCTCATCAGCTGCTCCTCAGAAATCCTATACAGAGTCACTATGGGTTAGAACCGACTTGACAACAAAACTAAGGCCGAGTTCTGGTGTGATGCTGTAGGATCAGCACAGGGTTGGTATGAGTCAGAACAAACTTGATGGCACTTAACAACAACAACAACAACAAATGTTAGCTCAGGTTGTATATAGTTTTTCATTACTCAGTATAATCTTGTCATGTTTTAAATTCAAACTTTATTCAGAATGGGCTAAAGTGTTGGATTGTATTCTTGTATAATAACCCCTCAGTCCTAACAACTGCATTCTCATGTCCGACATATTGTAGTTCAAGTGATGTCACAGAGAGGATTGTTTAAATTTAGTTAATTCTCCATGCTCTGCAAACTGTGATAATTTGTAAATGT